TTTCTTGAGAAGTACATTAGTAATGGCAAAGGCAACAGTAATTGCTAGCATTAGCATAAAAGGGTACCAAGCCACACAACTCCCCATCTATTTGCCTTTGTTTAATAGAACTTACTGTCTTCCTTCAATAAATAATGAGGCCAAGTCAGGGCTTTGGAACCTCTATATAAACTTCTGCTTCTTGTCTTGGGATATAAGTGACGAGCACTGTGACTATATTTGACTGACGTGGCAATTAATTCTTCCAATCACATCAATGTTTTAAAACTAACCTTTTGACATCAGTCTAAAAGCATAGTCTCAGCCTCTCAGGCTTCTGCAGTTCTTTTGTGCTGGGAAATGCCATTCTCACCCTTTTATGTGAAAAAGGATATTTTAAGGATTGGTGTCAGTCTGGTATTGACCCTTGAACTGCGGTCCTGGAATGTGTTCTATCCTTATTGGCTGTAGAAGATTAGCTTATTGCAGACCATTTAACATGTGAGTCAATTACTTCAACATGCCAATCATTTTAAAGATTTAATTATTATGGTCTTAATGGCATCTTCTGGGTGGGGGACAAAACACAACAGGCAACTGCACTTACTCTAATTTCCAATGCATGCACAGCATCTTACACATGATTCATTTTAGTATTATTTTGGCTAAAAAACTGTTTAGCATCTAATGCTACATAAGAACTAAATAGTAAAAGCATCTTCCTGGGAGGATATAAGAACACAGAACAACATATCAATATCATGCCTATCCTATTAGCCTGGGGGTATGTAGGAAACATAGTAAATTAGTAATAGTAATTCCATATATGGAGCAACTATTTGTGCACTAACCAGCCACTATTCTTGGGTTCCTAGTATCATAACCAAACAAGTGTCAATGGAGATGTCTGTTCCTTTTTCGCACCCTACTTCACCCCATAATTATAATAATCAAGTGCTCAGGGATTAGTGATAGATATAACTTTTTTAATTTTTAAAATCATAGCATTAATAATTTTCTCACGTGTGGAAAATGGGAAGGCAATATTCTTTGTCATGTTATTATCATTATCTGCTTCCGATAAGGATCCGGTTTAAAAAAATCAGTGACCATTACAAAAAAAATTGAAAAATCAATGTCTTTGTTGTTAAAGTGTCATCAAGACATTGCATTTGGCCAAGTTGTAAAGAATGGGTGGACATCTACGAATATGCATCATACCTGCCCAACCTACCAGCAAGTTGTTATATACTTCTATAACAATATAAATCCTAGATAACAGGTATATAACAAAAACAACAACATTCAAGCCTTAGTCGCAAAAGAGTTTGGAGTCGGCTAACATGAATCGACACATGAAGAGGCTGTTTGGCAACACCGTTTTTCGGCTTAACAGGCTTATCAGCCAACTATTTTGCTTTCGCGCGCCGAATTCTGTAATAAGCAGAAAAAGCAAGGTTGGAGTTACTTTTCTGACTGTATTGACTGAAGTTATTATAGATGACCATTTTAGCTATTTTTACATATAATTTTTTCTTTATTTTGTTAATAATTTTTTTCTTAAATCAGCAGAATCAGCCAATGCTGCCACTTCAGCCAGAACTTCATAAATTTCAGTAGAATCAGCCAAATCAGCCGATTTTCGTGCTACCAAAAGGGCTCGAAATCGGAGCTAAAGATATAAGAAAGATAAAAAAATATAAAAAAAAAGATAGAAAAGATAAAAAAAGATATGATAATGATAAGATAAAGATAAAAATGATAAGATAAAAAGGGATACAAGTGAGATTAAACAAATAAAAGGATAAAAAATATGAAAAAGACATCAATTACATAATAGGTATCATATTCCATAAAAATGTTCACTAGTAGCGTTAAACATTAAGAGATGTCTAACTTTCACCAAGTTCACTATTAACTGTGAGCATTCTTTATAGGTACGTATTTTATATCATAACAACTCTCAAATATGATTTCCCCGACTCTTGACTCCCATTGAGCATTTGAGCTGCAGCAAGGGTAGACACCATATAAATGAAGCACCTGAGCTCCTCAAGACACCTTAAATTTAAATGGCCAAAAGAATAGCTTTCTGGCAATTTTGCATGTGTATCAATGTCTAAAGTTTTATCACTGTCTTCCTTGAGTTCCATCACAAGAAGCTTCATATATGGTTTCTTTGTTTTGTGTAGCCATATCGCAAGTTCATAGGAATATCCATTGAGTATCAAATATGCCAATATGGTATTGATAATAAAATTTTCACATAGAATATAAAGTAAATACAGAAGGATGAATCCATGTCTTATTAAACTTATTTTAATTCATACTGTCTGAATGTCTGATCAACTATGCCCAGAAGAAACACAAATATACTATACATCTTCACCAAATAACCACACCATCTTTCAATACAATGAAAGTTACAGGTTGAAAAAGTAGATAAATAATATTCTAACACAATGCTGTAAAATGCACCAGTCATTGCTTTCTTCATTACTTTACATTTCTAGTCCTTTAACTATTGTGGCAATGACAACTTTTGGCACCCTTCTTTTGAAGTTTTACACTTTTGGTCCTCTGACCAGCGGCGCTATTGAATTTTACCACATTTAGTCTTCTCCTTGTCATGACACTAACATTTTTGGCACTTGTATTTGAACTTAGTTGGAGGGTCAACAGTGTCATGTTAAATAGATAACCACCACAACAACAATGACAACAACATTACCGCAGTGCCACAAAGACTCTCACCTACAGTACGGTGGGGGGAGGGTCGGATGTATGCAGCCTTATCCCTGTACGGCAGGGAGAGACTGTTTCCGGATGACCCATTTTTCTTTATTTCATCATATTGCCAAGCCAAAAAATAGTGAGTCTTTGGCTCCATTGAAAAATAATGGAAATATGTTAACATAGGTAATTGAAAGGCCAAAATTGTTTTTCTCACAATATGTCTATTTCACAATTGTAAGATGGCTAAGAGCCTAAGAGTGGACAAATGCAAATACAGATTTTGAAAGTGTCACTGCCACAATACTATGAGAACTAAAAGTGGAAAACTGCTCCTTTCTTTGACCAAATTGAGAAACCTGAAACACAACCAAGGATTCAACTCAGATTGAAAAAGTAGTACACATTAACAGCATAAGCAGAAAACGTGCATAGTGGCCTCGTGGAGCAGTGTGATACCTGAGAACTGCCTATTGTATTAACAATTAAGTTAAAGCACAATTTTGATGCACCCATGCACCTATGTTTCCTTAGGGTGTGTTTGGGAGTTTGAGGGCGAGGGGAGGGGAAGACTTTGAAGGGGAGTAGAGAGAAGGGAAGGGGAGGGAGATGGCAAGACATTCCCTCCTCTTGTTTGGGAGTTACAAATTTTAAAAGAAAAGGGTTTTGGAGGAACTTTAATTAAAATAACACATGTATCCCTTTCTCATTGTATACACATTGGATGTTATAATTTTTTATTGTTCACATTACTAGTTGTTTTGATATTTTTCCTTGAAAAATTGCTTCAATAATTACTATACAAATCATAGCCTGTTTAGTAAAATCAAATTCAAATTAAAAAATTATGAAAATAGCAAAGTCGGTTTTTTTGTTATACAATTCAGCGAGCAAAATAAAAAATTACTTATTTAATGGAAAAATGACTAATAAGTATGATAAGTAAAAAAACACAGGAAAAAAAGAACTCATATTTTATGTTAAAACATCATAATGTTTATTTAAATAATAACAATATTTAAACTCACAGTTCAAAATTTAAATTCAAATTTCTGGTATCGGATGACTTACCACAAAATTAAATTAGATCAAATTCACCTTTCTCAACAAATAACTCTTACCATAGCAGATTATTAAATTTCATATGTTTTGCTTTGCAGCTAGTGGAACATAAAAGTAAACTACGGAGTAGTTGGAATTAGAAAATTCCGTATAGCACTGTAGCTAGGGATGCAGTAGCCATATATTCAATCCAGCAGTCCTTGGAAACCTCCCGATTCGGGGAAATTAGAAAAGTCGTTTTTTGGGGGTTTACGGGGATTTTAGAAAACCTCCAAAATCTTTCCTTCCATTTTTAAAAACTCCCAAACACAAAATGGGTGGTCATTGACCCTCACATCCCTTCCCCTCCCCCTCAAAATACAACTCCCAATCACACCCTTAAGGAATATATCAATACCAGCTTAATCCCAAAATCACATGAAGTAAAGAGAACCTCAGAGGTCAAAAGTAACTTTGGGGAAACAGTCACTAAGTCAGGGATATGGCCAGCAGTGGTCAATACTAATTTTAGTGTGTTACCGTATCTACATATGTACTACCTCTCTCAAAATTAACAGTAACATTTTACTATTCACTAGCCAAAGCATCTAACTTTTGATTTCTAATTTTACTTATCAATTCTTTTCATATTCAGAATCAATTTTTTTCATATTCAAAATCAATCTTTGAGAACTTTTATTGCAATTTCTTAATATGATTTTTTTTCCAGAGAGATATCTATTTCCCCGGTCAAACCTCAACATAAAGGAGCTATCTTGAGATGGAGAGTTTTTTTTATTATGGAAAACTTGTCGCTTTCTTTCAATTAAAAAAGCAGCCTACTCCTTTCTGGACATCATGGAGAAACAATTACCAAAAAATAGAAAAAATGGCAAAAGTAAAAGAAGGAGTCTTACTGCATTATTGCATTTATCACCCCAACGCGGAGAAGGTACATTTTGATAAAATCTGTCTCACGAAAATTAAATTGATGAAGTCCATTTTTCTAAAATCAGAGTCAGACAATTCATGAAAACGTGATGCAATGTTTGGTTAATTTGGTTTAGTGGTACCAATTCTGTAAATTCTACGCGTAATTACTAAACTGGAATGCAAATTGTAATACGCCCACCCCCAATGAAAGAATCCCAGGCATATATAATTACTCACAGCAACGATTCAAAATCTGGCCAATATCTGGAAGAACTGTAGATATCCAAAATCGTAGATCTAAGGAGCTGCCATTCCCGAACCAGACGCTTCCTCCGTGCAGATATGGGTCTTTGCTTAGGGAGACCGCAGATGCTTCCTCCTAACCATTTCTGTGGTAATAATTATCCTGTTATCACTCGAAAACGTTGCTAGAATATGAACATCATTTTTCTATACATACTTCCTGCACATTGTGACTTTGTGAGTGGCTATGATTTTTTCCATGAGCAATTTCACTCATCCCAAGTCCGAACATGTTTTTTAACTATTCAAAAACATGTCTCGAATTTACATAAAAAATGAGGCCTTATATATGAGATTATATGCGGCCATCGTCATTTAAGGCGGTTTTCGATGGAATTTTTTGAACATCTTATCCATTAAGTCTAGTTTACGCATACCAAATTTCAGCTAAAACTTAAATCGGGAAGGCATTCAAATGAATTCTTGAAGATAACTGTGTAATTGACATTTTTATATATGTAAGTTCGAGACTCTATTGGTCTCTTTTCCCAAAAAAAACATGTATAAGATGTTGTACAAAAAATGTGTACAAAAAGATTTATTGAAAATTTAATCAGTTAAAAAAATTAGTCACACTATAATTATAGATTATAATTTATTACATCTGGATTCTTGTGGCTTGGAATGCTTTTTCCTATCTCATAGGAGACATTTTTCTGTTTTTTACTGTGTTACATACAAAAATTTAAATGATCTTATATTTCTCCTCTTGAAATATGGGTAATGAATAATGTTGAATAAGCAGGACTGATGATATGAAAGAGTGGATAAAATAGAAAAATAAAATTAATTGAATTTTTTAAAAATAAAAACTTTCCCAAATAGAGAAATGTAGCAAAAATTAAAATCCATCCAAAAAATAATTGAAGCAAACATTTCAATACGGAATGAGTAAATATACATGTTGTATATGCTGAGTATTGCAAATTTAGATCATCTATAATGTCACAATGTGTACGATGTACACGTGACATGAGAAATATATGAATAGAAAAACTAATGCTTCACACTCCTCTCTCTTTCTTTCTACAATTTAATACTACCTCCGTCCCAAAATTAACTTCCCGTTCGGTTTACGATGCTTGACTGACGATAAAGCAACTCGGTCCCTGCTCACACTCGGATTATTTTTAGTAAATAAAATTTACATATTCAGAAACTACATTAAAACCGCTACAAAGCCTGATCAATAAAATTTAAATTTGATATAAAAAGTAAAAGATTACGAGTGATTCAAGTTGACCAATGAATAGTGACTGGGAAGTTGTTTTTGGGACGGAGGGAGTATAATTTTGATACTTTTTTAACAATAATGTCAACTACAATATCTACATCTAGACATTTGTCTTGACATTGTGGAGAAAAACATATGAAAGTGCTCTAAGTAAAGTCATACATATGAAGACACATACTTAAGCTAGTATTATTTCAATCCCGACTTAAATTTCTCACACTTATTTAGATGTTGATAATAAGGTAACGTGAGTATATTTTGAAGTAGTTCTTATATGTACATAGCATAATAAGGTTATTGATGATAATTGTGATGTTATATGTGTATTATATTTAAAGTATGATGATGATTAATTTGTCATTTAAAAGTGTTAATTATTCTCTAAAATGAAACGAAAAGATTTACTAAGACGGATGGAGTACATAATAGGAGTATTTCACAATTGTAGTTCATTGCGACATTGTTAAAAGCATGCGTCATTTTCTATAATACGTAGTGTAGGGATGTCAAAAAAATCCGATCCGCAATGACCCGTCCTGGCCCGAGACATTTGGGGTGGGTCCGCCCCGCCCCGTCTTGCAAATGGGGCGGGTCCGCGTTGGAAGACAATTTGGGTCCGGGTATTAGAATTGACCCGCCCCGCCCCGCCCTGGAAGACAATTTGGGTCCGGGTATTAGAATTGACCCGCCCCGCCCCGCCCCGCTCAATATATACTTTTTCTTAACTTATACTACAAATATACTTCAACATACATATGTGTGTATACAATAAATCATAAACTCTTTGATCTTATAATATATGAATATATAATAGAATGAGATGTACGACAGATTATCAACGTCTTCTTTATATATATAATTTTAATACATTTATTCAATTATTAATATAACTAATTAGATTAACTATTCAAGTTTGAGTAATTTTTCCTTAATTTTTGAAATTTTTAGCGTATCATAAATTTGATTTAATATATTGATTTTTAATTATTATTTAGAGATAAAAATTATGTAGATTCAATTGGTAACCACTTCCCACAAATAAAAATACAAACTAGCTAATTAGGTTGTGGCGGGGCAGGGCGGACCCGCCCCGCCCCGCATGGGGCGGGTCATGGGTCAACAAGTTTGGACCCGTGCAGGTCACGGGGAGGGGCGGACCCGCCCCGCCAAGTCACGGGGCGGGTTCGGGTCTTGCAATACCCGCCCCGCCCCGCCCCATTGCCATGTCTAACGTAGTGGAGTACTTTATAATTTTGTGTTTTACTCAAATTTGTAAAAAAATATAATTTGAAGTTTAGATGCTTTTAATTTTTGAGTCCTACAAAAATTATATATTTTAATGTTTTGGAGGGGCGGTGGGGAAGATTTTTTTAGTGTTTCACAAATTATAGATTTTTTTCAACTTCGACTGAATTTTAATGGTCTGATTTCTTCTAATGAAGAACATTGTTATTCCTATTTTGGGCTATTTCTCGATTTCGTTTAGTCTAATAAAAACATGTTTAATGTATATTTTACAATTTTCTAAATATAATATGATCCAGCTTGGCTCAGCCTATTAAAGACTTGTTTAGTAGCATGTGCTTTGATATGTTATTGTAATTGTTGTTATATTTAGGATGCTTTTATTTAGATTGAATTTTTTTTATTTGATTCGTTTAAGTTTGATTTCATCTACTTTGTTTAAGTGAGTGAATAACCACAACATTCACATATGATTTGATATGTATGTCTTACACTTTTACTCCCTCCGTCTTATATAAATGGTATCGCTTTCTTTTTTCTAAGCATCCCATATAAAGGTTTTCATTTCTAGTTTAGAAAACAATTAACAATCCTATATGACAATTTAATTATTAAATATTAAAAATAATACATTTATAAAATCACAGTAATCAACAATACCTCCATTATAATATGTACCTATTAAAATTATTTTTCAAAATATACTAGAATTACCTTATTTAACTATTGTGTAAATAACTGTGTCATTTTGTCATGAGAATCTTTCAACAAGACAAAGGTAGTATTACAACTTAGTCAGGGCCGGTTTGTTTTGAGGTTGAAAATAGTATAACTATAAATATTTTTATTATATTAGAGAGACTTTTTGCGGATGGTTTTTTAAAAAATATTATTGAAATGAAACTTATTTGCAAAAATATGACTTGTAGTTACTATAGTACAATCTCATACTAACTAAAATGTAAAAATTGAACATAAATACTACGTAGTATGACTAAATTACTACTTGATGGTCCTTTAAGTCTTGAGGTAGTAAGGTCCGAGCATGAGTCAAAAAGCACAAGTATGAATTGAGTATGAAATTTGGCAAAGTAACTGTATGCTAAATCAGAATTTGAGTCCCTTTTCCTACAAGCTGGAAGGTGACTATATAAAAGGAAAATCTCTAATATTTGTGAACAAGTACTCCCTCCGTATCACATATATCTTCCCACTTCAAAAGTGGGTGAGATTAAGAATAGTGAAAAGGGTTATGAATTATTGAGGGTATGATGGGAAGATAGTGAAATAATGTGATGGAATGAAGGATAAATCCAAAAAAAGTAGGTGTAATAGTGTATTGTTTTTTAAATTATTGAGGGTATAATGGGAAGATTTAGAAATGGGAAGATATAAATGTTACATCCAAAAAAGGAAGGTGAGAAGATATGAATGTTACGGAGGGAGTAAAATAGATACGTAGTATTCGAATAAGAATGTGCCACGTGTATGGGCTAATTGGTGAGAAAATCATTATTTAATTAGTTGATGGGTATGACTGATTGTCCTTTGCTAACATAATGCCTGGATAAGCCGCACATGTCTAGTGCGACAGCCGGTTTGTAACAGGTGAAATGATGTCGGCTCTGGAGTTTATTATTGCTTGGTGACGTAGTCCTTGATTTGTCTAAAATGTTTGTACTGAAACATCTAAGTCCACACGTGTATGTAGAGCGCTGAGCTCGGCCTTGCGTGAGCTTCGGGATGACCATAAACCATGTTATTAGACTACTACATTTATTCTGTTAGGCAGGTGAGACACGTGTCTTCACCACAATAGATTAGCATCTTTTACTTGTTGGCCAAACATTTCTCCCTTAGTGTAAATATAACCTTCCAGCTTGTGGAAAGGGATCCAAATTTTGTTTTCACTTTTCCCAATTGTCTACCCGGTTTTAGCACTTTTCAGTCGTTCATATTTTCCCGGATTCCGGCTACCCCTAGATCGGCGACAAACCATGGTGTATCATGTCTAAACAAACTTGGCTAACTAGATTTAAACAAACTATACAGGAATAATAAGACTCGACCTAAATATACATGTACTAAATTGGAATAGATCAGACAAGATGAGATTTAAACACATCAAAGAAATTAAAATAATTACATACTACCTCCGTTCTCTTTTAAATGCAATGTTGGACTTTTTGCACTATTCATATGTTCTACTTTGACTATGTTTTATTTATTAATGTAATAATATATATTTTTGAAAAAAATATTGTTAAATTTTTCTCATTATAAATTTTCAAAATCTATTTTTTGAACTTTTTTTACTAATCGGGAATTATATATATTAACGGTCAAAGTTGTACCTCGGGAATTATATATCACTAAAATAAATGTTATTTATAAAAATGTGACATTTTAAGTGTAGTGACTATAGTGGATTAGTGGTAACTTCAACCACAGCAACAAACTTATGTTTAATTTTATATTTAAGTCATGACCATGACACTATACTTGTAGTAACTTTAGTCATATTTTATTTTATAAATATGTTTTATTTAATTTCAGGAACACTTTTGAAAAAACATTTTCTTTGACAACATTTGCAAAACTCCATGGCTATCTAATTAGCTTTATTCTTGGGTGTAAAAACTAAAAATTAACCCAAAACTCAAATAGAATAGAATACATATATGCATGAAGTGCATGCAATGTCTCATATGATGTTTTCCATCCTGAAGCGAATGAGAGCTTGGCTGATCCACTGGAAGTACTTCACCAATCGTCCCTCTCTTCTCATGGCCTAAAATGTTATAGCTTCGGTGAGCTCAATATTGCGACACAAAAATTCAGTTCTCATACCCTTGTTGGTGTGGGAAGTTATGGTTCCGTCTTCAGAGGCTGGATAGACCAAAAAACCTTGGCTCCATCCAAACCAGGCGTTGGGGTAGTAGTGGCTGTCAAGATGTTTACGAGAAGCCTGTACGGACTTGATCAAGATTGGGAAGTATGTTTTTGAATTATTGGAAAGGATGAATTCTAAACTTCATGATATGTCATTCATTTATTGCTAATCGAATGGAATTGTAATTACTGTAACAATCTGTGCATGTAGTCTGATGCCAAATGCTTGGAGTTGGGCCAGCTCCAACACACAAATCTCGTAAGATTGATTGGGTATTGCTTGGACTCTGAAAAAAGATTTCTGGTATATGAGTTCATGGGAAATGGAAATTTGGGGAACCATCTATGTGACACTTAAAAAAAAAAATTTAAAAAAAAAAATTAAAAAAAAAAAAATTAATTAATTTAGTCAATCAGATAAAATGTTACAAAAGTTACATTTGTCATAATTAAGTTGATAAGTTAATATTTCATAATGTGTGGTAAGTAGTCATAAAATATATATATATATATATATATATATATATATATATATATATATATATATAAATGATAGCATTAAGTTTAATAGATATATGATAATAACAATAAATAATAAAATAACAATAATAATACGTAACTCTATAATACAGTAATACGTAACTCTATAATACGTAATAATAAGCTACAAAAGTAAAAATAAGAAGAGTGGATTAAATGACTACAAAGCTATATATTTATATATACGATATATGAAGAAGATTAACCTACGGACGTAACAAAACAAAAAGCTGCGTACAAATTAAAGGCATTCATCGGATAAGCCCGAGAAATAACAATCCGTTTACAACTCTACTGCTTTAAGCCGATCTGATAAATCGTAGACGACCTAAAACCCTCAGATTAACAGTATAAATAGCAGCTCCTACATACGTTTTCATTCACACCATAGCTCAGCTCCAAACCTATATATATCTACGTATATATTTATACACAAAGATCAACCCTTCGTGGTAGTTCGACGTAGAACAAGCTCGCCAAGGTTTCACCGGGCCAGTCTTCACGACGGAAACCGGAGGAGAAGAAGAAGTTGCCGCCATCTCCAGTTTACTGCCGACAGTCTCTATCACCTAAATACTCCATTAACCGCCGCCGAGGTAAGCCGTCTCATACCGTTCTGCGTTTTCCTTCGCTGTTTTTCCGACGTACCTATCATAAGAAGAAGGCGATTAAGTCTGTTGTTTAAAATAGGCTAGGTGTTTTAATAGTTGCGTTGTATCTTTTGTTAAAATAGTTGGACTCATTAATTCCATAATAATACCGGCCAGTCTCCGTCAAGCTTACGCATAGCCGCCAATAGGAATACTGATAATATAAATTAGTAACTGTTAATAATTAAGCTGGTCAATTCCGATGCTGATTTTGTGATCCAAAATGATGAAATTAGTTGACTGTTTAACTAACCAAAACTAATGAGAGAACTATTACATTGAGATAATGATACTCTAATTAGGTTAAATAAAGTTGGACAGTTATTAGCTATACTAATCACTTGATCAACGAATGTAGATTAATAAATTAATTCGGATATTTTAAGAACAGTAGGCCATGGGTTTAATCGAGTAAGTATTTTAATGGAATTAAACAAATTAAAATACGAAGTAACGTTTTGGCCTAAAAAGTATTGCTACAATCAGGCTAAGTTACAATCAGGCTAAGTATTGAATAGTGATTAAATATATTACCAAAGGTAAAATTAAATAATGGATTTACAATCAAATTTGCATATCTTAATAGTATAATAATATTGTAATTCGTCAATCGGATATTCTAAGTATAATTACATAACTTGGATAGTTCAATTAATAAAATAGTTCGGTCGTTATTGTATAATATAACTTACTCAGATGCCTTGCAAGTATTTTATAAGTTGTTGGAATATTACAAGTAGAACCTGGAAGTACTAGGTTAGGGGACATTTTGAATGTAACTGAAATAATATGAATATTTTTATTGCGGAGTATTTCACTAAAGATTTGTGAATCGGCTACGGTAAATAATGTACTAGTAAGTTTGTAACGTAACTAGTAATAATGACCTAAACTCAAGTAAATAGGTATTGACGGGGTTTATTAATCGCTAATTACACAAGTTACATTAAATTAATAAATTGAGAAAAAGTGATTAAAATAAATCACAATTAAGTAATTAATAGAAGGAATAAAATAATGTAGAAGGAGGATGGGATAATTATAGAATAAAGGACTAATCGTATCCTCTTTAATTAAAAAGGGTGACTATTAGAGACTGAAGTAGAGGACGAGAACTAGGGGCTTCTGAGTTAAGGTAAGTTTCTCTGCCGATCCAAAATTGTTTCCTCGTATTATATGCTTATTATGCATTATGTGATTAAGTGTGAATTTTGAATTATGTGTATGTAATTTTGAGAAGATATTAGATCTATGGTATTTGAGGAATACAAATGAAGTACTTTTGGGGTGTTAAATATTTTTAACATCATTGAGACCATGTAGAGAGATTAAGAAATATTTTTGAAGTATACTTAATTCAAGATAAAATTAAGGATTTTATAAGAGGTGAGCACCACGGGAGAAATCCGTGATGTCGGTTTTCCACATCCGGATAAATGTGGAGGGTGATTAGGGCTGCTACTACTAAGAAGTACAATTTGAGTTTTAAGTGACATTTGGATCTATGATCCCTTTTAAGAAGAAGTTATAATAGTAGTAGTCCCTAATCATTCAAGAATTTTAAAGGTGGGGTAGTTGGTAGACTGAGTCCCGATTACTCGTGACGACTTACTACTCGGAGGGCTTGGAATCCCTTTTAGGGGGTGTGCACACTTAAAGTAGTCGTTTCGTTTCCACAAGAGCAGTTGTGGTACCGGCATTTGTTCGGGGTGGCCGTCCGTAACCACGGTCCACCGGGCTCAGTCGAAAGGCTGAGCACCGCCCTTCTAAATTACTAGGAAGATAGAGAAGAAGTGAATTTTGAGAAATTCCAAGAGAAGAGTTACTATAGTATTTTCAAATAAATGTTGAGGACTTTAGTAAAGGAGTGATTTTGAGAAATATCAAAGAGAAAAGAATTTCGGTGGAGTGAGTTATTTTTATATAATATTACATAAAAATCTATTTTAGTCAAACGTGATTATTTTACGGGGTTGGGTAGTACTTACTTAGCTCTAAAGCTAATTTTTGTTTCCTCTTCCTTGTTTTGTTTCTGCACTTTATTTGTGCAGGTGATGATGATTATGTTGATTGTTGATTGCACGCGCCTGAGAGCGAGTTAGAAGTTGCCTTAGTCAAATTTAGTCTTGAAATAAACATTTATTTATTTAGTTTTATTGTTTTGTTTTAGTTGCCTGTGCATCCGGTTGAGAGATGACCGGATGTGGCGGTAACACCCATTTCCCTACTTAGACTTCCGTTGTACTCTTTAAATTTTATTATCAATAAATAAAAGTTTTATTTAAATCATATCAATGTTTTTGGGCGGGAAATTTGGGGGTGTTACAATCTATTCGAGGGTAAGTAAGTTTAACTCCATTTCATCTATAATCTATATACATTATTATATGGGCAAGACCACTTGACCACGGATTTTTTGGGTAATTAATTAAGTTTTGGGTTATAGATTTATTGGATTTTTTGGGTAATTAATTAAGTTTTGGGTTATAGATTTATTAGTCAAATCATATCTTTTCTTTATTCTTTGTGTTCAACTAATCAACTAAGGTCGTTACTAATGAGAAACTGTGTTTAGATTTATGATGCTTTAAGATCTATAAGTAATTACATAAACTAATTATCTCCAATACCCCCATTTCTAGCAAGGAAATGTATTTTAACCAAACAATGAAGCAAAAATGTAGCAGGGTCTGAAATTTTAACTCTTAACTTGGATTATCTCCAAATTTAATAATGTCCTCAAGAGCTAATTAACACAAGTCTTTGTGATCGAATATTTTGTTCTTACTCGTGAGTACCCTAAAAACGTCGTAGGGGTTTGCATATCTCTAAACCTAATATTGTGCTCATAAACTAACGCAAGTCTTTATGACAAACTTTGTCTCTCGAGCAACCTAGAAATCTTCGTAGGGGTTCACATATCTCAAGTACATTTAACCATGACATTCTTAGCAGATGAACTAATAAAAGAAATTACATAAAGTTTGTATGAGGAGTTGTATTAATCCTTTATGCTCTTCTCAGGCAGGGATGGATTTAGGGGGGGGCGCGGGGGGGGCGACCGCCCCCCTTGGACTTTCAAAATTTTCTACCATATATGTAATATTTTCATAAAACTTTCATAATTTAATTAGATTCGCCCCCCTTAGCTTTTAATTTTCAAAATTAATATATAGGGTTACATAATGTAATACTTAATTGAAGATTTAAAAGAAGGAACATCTAAAATAATTACATAACTTAAACAAATAAACAATAGAATAACTCGTTGTTTAAGATTTAGGATACTTATTATATAAGAATTCAAGTTTTGTAATGTTTAATTATCTTTATTAGATAACAAGTACTTGATTTTGTAAAATATATATCAAACAATATTAAATATCAGATACACTAATTACACAGTTTTTAGATCACGTGAAATGAATCCAAAATATAAATTTTTATTGACATTAAATTACATAATTCATTTACTTCTTGCTTTCTAAAAATAATTTATTGCATAGATAATAAACTTTAAATTATTATAGCATTAATACAAATATTAAAATATAATATGCACCATATATGTGTGTGTATGTGGTGCATATTATTCTAAAAATAATAATATCATACATACTACTATTGTAATATTAAGAAAATTTCTCATGAGTCATGACTCACGAACACCCTCCTTGGTGGCCGGACAAAAATTACAATTCAATAATAACCGATTCATGAGGTTAAACAATGTAGAAGTTATTAAAAATGTATTGGTTGATGTCTTTGTCATCGTCTAATTTAAACTTTGAATGTACTACTTAATAGATTTAAATGTCGTTGGGGATGTGTATGTATTAATGTCATTTTTTGAATAAAATAAGCCGCATAGCCCTACAGTAGCGGAAAAAATTAGCCCCGCTACACTAGGGAAAAAAATTCCGCCCCACTACACTAACGAAAATTTTTTCACCCCCTACACTACCGAAAAATTTCGCCCCCCTTGAATAGAAATCCTGGATCCGTCCCTGTTCTCAGGCATTCCATGCTTGGCCATACATCTTGTAGTATTGGAATATTTTATAGTATGACATACAGTTTATAGTGATTTAGAATCAATTTTTCAATTGAATGATCCACTTTGTGAGTTGCAGGTGGTGAAGTCATGTCATGGTCGGTAAGGATGCGTATAGCAGTTGGTGTTGCACGAGGGTTATGCTTCTTGCACAGTCTCGGTGAACATGTGGTTTACCGTGAGGACCTTTCAACTGAGAATATCCTTCTTGACTCGGTATATATGCTTGCATCACCTTTGAAAATTTCACTATCATTTGATTGAATTAAGTTCTTTTTTAAGTTTTATTTTTTGAATATTCCCTTTTTGAGTTATATATCCAATTTCGTAGGATTTTAATGCAAAGCTTTCTGATTTTGGCCACACCCACTTTTCTGGGTATGCCAAGTACTTGAATCTTAATCATCAGCGTATGTGGACAATTAGAAAAAGATTTGGTTCATCACCAGAACAAATGCTCACAGGTTCCTTCGTAAATTTATTTCTCAACTTAATCTTTATCATAAATGCATTTAATTAGGGCGCTCTATGCATACATTTACTTTCAAACCGCATGCTCAGCTATTACTATGAGCATATGTCATTTTCACGTCACTCCTTTTTACTACGGGCTCCGCCCACTTGGTGTGTGTTAGGTCTTGTGCAGTCGTGCCCCCCCCCCTCCCTAACTTATTTACGTAGTAGTATATATACAAACAAGTACTATGCCCTAGGGTAAGAATGTTTTTGATTGGATTATTTTCGGTCACAAATCAGACCAGACCAGACTTAAATGAACTAGATCAGACCGAACTTAAAAAGACCAGATCAGACCAGAAGAGATCAACAAATTTCAGTCCAAGTAAAAACATTTAAAAGTTTTTTTAGACTTTGGGAAGACTCTGTCACATATTATGATTCCATTCCTCAAAAACCAAATTATCATTTCCTGTATAAAATAAAGTAATAATACCTAGTAACTCATTTCAAATTTAGGAATTAGATCATCTATTTTAACCTTTGAGCTTTTAACTTATTTTTCTTCATATGTATAAGGTGAATATAATACTTCGTAATACTTAGCCGTTAACTATTACTATAAAATTTTGTTTAATGGCAGGCCAAACGACTCAAAAGAGTGATGTGTATGGCTTCGGGATGGTCCTATTAGAATTACTATCAGGACGGAAACTATGGGGTGAATTTGCAAAACTCATAAGGAACAGTGCAACACCATTCGTGATGATAATGGACCCCAAGTTGTTGGATGTTTATCCTATCGAAGATGCAAAAGTTGCTCTTACCATAGCTTATCAATGTGTTCATAGTCGGCCAACTACAAGGCCAACCATGGCACATGTTTTATCTGAACTTGAAAATCTTCTCAATTAGTTATTTCAGGTAATGGGTATTCTTGTTACTCTCAGATCAACTAAGATGCAAACATATACGAGTATCATATTAATATGTTTGATAGCATTGCAATATGTTCTAGATGGGTAGTTTTGTGACATTAGTATGATGGTTACTAGAGCAGCAATAAGTGGGGGCTAGTTCATCCAAACTTACAGATCACAACTCAAAAGTCGTTCAAATATAGTGGTACAACTAGCTCTTCTAAAGAGAGAAATAAATATCCTATTCCTTCTCAATTGCTTTGAGCAAATACAGTTGTTTTCTTTTCTTCTTGATTATTTAGTGTGATTATAATATATTACTATCTTAGTGAAATTAAGAGTGTAAGAGGCTTCAAGGTTTTGACTATTGTGGTGTAAAGCTGAGATTTCAAAATTTTGAAGCGAAGAAAACCTGTTAATATATTGTTGGCCCAAACGTTTTTTGTATATTAATAATGGTTAACACACCTTCTAGCAGCCCACTACACTATACTCATTTATCTATCTGGCCTATTAATATTGCCTCTCCCGTTAGAATTTGAATTCAGCTCATTATTGAGCTAGTGATGAGTTGTGTGTGCAGTGTATTATTTGAGTGTCCTTGTGAGCCCTTCTAATAAAGCCAAATGCTTCCCTGTTATAAGGACACTCCATGCCCCTTTGTTCTGCGAGTGAAACACAGAGAGTTTCCTCCTTCATTTCTTCTTGGTGAGTGAGAGTGTTTGTGAAACCATTATCCTTCTTGGTGAGGTTAGTGTGAGTGTTGGCGAGGTTAGAGTGGTGTGTTGCTCCCTTAGCCTAGGTGTGCACAAGAGACAACTGGAAAACTGAGCACTGGACTGCCTGAGCCGGAATCCGGCGACGGAATCGATCCTCAACAAAACCAAGCAACAACAAAACTCTTGTTAAATTTCCGACACCGAAAAAATTTGGATGAACAAAGTGCTATATTAACACATGAGCTACTTCTCCTATCAGGTTGACCTTTTAGGATGGAACCCTGAGTCTTAACAAATCTTGTGGTGAAAAAGTGAGATTTCAAAATGTTCAAGCGAACTAAACCAAACGACAAAATCAACTCTCAACATATAATGTAGGAGTTTAGGAATTTTAAATACTCCGTACCATATTAACTACTGCAACTAACTTCGCTTCACTAACGGACATGAATAGGGGTGGTTCGGTACGGTATACCGAAGATTTTATCCCATACCTTTACCATACCGTAAACTTTCGGTATGCAAAAATACATACCATTACCATACCTAAATTTCGGTATACCTTGTTTCGGTATACCAAAATTTTGGTACGGTAAGCTACGGTATCGGTAAATTATCATGATTTAATATCAAATTATTATATATCAAATGAAATATAGAAAATTAGTGTTAATAGTGATATACTAAAATTATTAATGAAATTAATTATAAAATACCAATGATAACCTATATGTGTTCTATTCAACTTTGAACAAAAAACTATTATTATAAATATGTACGGATACTTCAACACATGATATATGAAGATAACAACACATTTTGCTAAAAGGCTAAAGGGTCAAATAGGTACATGAACTAACTTAAAGTGTTCAATTAGCCCCTTATATAGGAGGTTCTGCCCGGCCGTCGCCAATTGGGGTGGTTCCCGGTGGAATTTTTTGATGAATTTTTTTGAGCATCTTCTTCATTAAGTCTAGTTTACCCATATCAAATTTTAGCTAAAAATTAAATCGGGAAGGCAGTCAAATGATTTTCCGAAATGTACTGCGCTGTTTAACTGCGCAGTTATCTTCAAAAAATCATTTGACTGCCTTCCCGGTTGAATTTTTAGCTGAAATTTGGCATGGGTAAACTAGACTTAATGAAGAAGATGCTCAAAAAATTTCATCAAAAAATTCCACCGGGAACCGCCCCAATTGGAGACGGCCGGGCAGAACCTCCTATATAAGGGGTTAATTGAACACTTTAAGTTAGTTCATGTACCTATTTGACTCTTTAGCCTTGCTAAAATAATAATTTAAACAACATAAATATATTTGAAATAACATCGATCTCCAACAAAAAGTATAAATAATTCAAGAAACATGGATATAAAGTCATTATCCTTGAATTAATGTTGTGTTTCTAGTTATTTTTATAATTTTAAATAAATTATTGGCTTGGAATAACGGTATGACGGTATAACGGTATACCGTTTATTTCCAAAATATATACCGATACCATACCGAAGTAATTCGGTACGGTATCATACCGTACCAAAAGTGTCGGTATACCAAACACTTCGGTAAATTCGGTATTTTTCAGTATGGTAAGTCCGGTATACCGAAATTTCGGTATTTTTCCCCACCCCTAGACATGAAGAACTGATGTGGTTCTTAAGAAAAATAAGTTATGTGGTCAATTTGATATGATATTATTTTTAACTCTAGGGGGTCTGGGGAGGGGGGCTGGGGGAGCTTGGAGTAATCAGTGCTGAAACTCACTCCATTGAGTTTCACACCCTTGTGTGCCTAGCAGGATTCGAACACGAGACCTCTCGCTAGGCACGGTAACCTCGCAACCAGCTAGGCTGGAGTGCTTGGTTATTAAATGATTCGATAATGTAAGAATAATGTAAAAATGATTTAAAATCACATAAATTTTATTAAAATTAGTACTACCTTCATCCCAAAAAGAGTTGCAAATTTGACTTTTCTTAGTCAAACAGTCTCGTTTTGTTCACATAATTAGGATGTCAATTTTTAATTATTTTCTAATTTGGAGTTTACAACTTTGAAGAGATTTTAATGTAGTTTTTGAATATGTAAATTTTAATTATTAAAAATTGAATTAATTATCCATACAGAGGGTTGACTTTTATTATTGGTTGATCAAAAAATGTTGACTTTGCAAAACAAATTGGGACGGAGGGAGTATGAAACAATTTTAATGAGACAAACTGAAAAAAAAAATTGATTACGGCAATCTTTGCGGATTGAAAGACTGAAAGAGTATATAATATTTTGACAGTAAAAATAGCTCATAAGATAATTAAATATTATGCTTTTGTGTTGAAAATGTGATCGAATAGTAAAATAACTAACACTACGTAGGAAGTATTAAATTTAATAAATTTAATTAAATTTGACTTGCATTCGTTGAAGAAAAGGAAGAATTTGAACCCGGCATCGGCGTTTGAGCTGAACTTGAGAAGATTCGGGGATGCGTTCAAGAGACAGCGAGAGACATCAGAGGTCCATGGGATGATTTAGAGTCATGGTTCGAGGCTTGGAAGGTTAAAGATTGAAGATAGAATCGATCGAGAGCAAACGACAAAGAGAAGAGCAAGAAAACGGTTCAAGAGTCATCCGCGCGCCCCACGGGCTAGTCCCGCATGCTCCGCGGGTGATTGTGCAAGCTAGAAGTCAAGAAGTCTGAACCGCACGGCCCACGGTCCCAGAAGCACCCGCATAGTTGGACCGTGCGGGATCCGCATGTTGTGCGGGCGGAACAAAATTTTGATGCGCGGAACTTCCGCGTTGTCACCTGTGCGCCTCGCGGATCACCGAGCAGACGACCTCGCATGTTGATTTTTGCCCCCAGGTGTCCTATTTCGGTCCGGATTGATCTGTTTTCTATTTAAACACTCCATAAACCCCTGTTTTTGTGTTCGTACGCTCGCTCATTTGGGCAATAATTTTTAGACACCTGTTGCATGAGAGATCAGCCTGGTTCCCTAAATTATTATACTCTACGCCGCGAGAACGGTTAAAACTTAGTACTGATAAGCGTTGCTCATTAAATATTTTTCATGTGATTGAGCCTGATCAGCCAGAAATTTGATTTCCCGGAAATCAATCCATGTTCCCTATTGTCATTAATTAGAAATTCACCTTTATTTTTATCTGCTATTTCGCATTAGTTTAATTCTTCAACAATCAATCTCGCACAATTGCACTTTTTATTTGAATTTAGTTAATTCCTGATTCCATTTTCTCGTCCATGCGGAGACGATACTCGTACTTGCACCACTATTCTACTACATATTTAATGTGCGAGAAAACTCACAACAATAATTACATTTTTTAACTATGTCATTAGATGACAGTGGGAACCTAATGAATAGTTCGAACAATGTAGATTTGAATCTCTCGAACGTTTGTGATAAGTTCTAGAGAGCACGTGATTTGTTTGGCCAAATTGTGATCAGCGTGTACTAATAAAAAATTGTCATTAGATATGTGATTTTTATGCCATATTAAATGTAGTCATATTTTTATGTCATTAGATATTGTTCCGGTCCTAGATCGTCCAGTCCCTGTCATTGGTATTAGAACAATGGGTCTGGGGTCAGTTCCAGGTACTCGAGCGGACTGGTCCCGATCCCAGTCCAGGTCTAGACCTGGTCTCATTTTGTTTTTTTCGTTTCCCTCTGATTCCAAGTCAAAAAGAAAAAAAGTGGCCCGTCCGGGACCGAAACAGAGACCGCTTGATATCGGTCCCCAAATTGGTGAATCGGGATCAAGGGACATGCTTGGGCGGACTATGGGTGGTCCTGGTTCCGAACCGGATTTTCTGGAACCTGTTCCAGACCGAGTCCACCTCTAACTAATAGTAGTAACTTTACTCATACTAATTTATGTTCAATTGTTATTCATAGGTTACTAAGTTACTGTAATAGTACAATCACAATACTAAATTATGTTCAATTTTTATTTTTAGGTTACTAAGTTATCATTATTATAACAATAGTAATTATTAGGGAAAAATAATTAAAATACCCCAAACTTTGAAGTGGTGTGAGATAAATACCCCAAACTTTCATATGAAATTAACACAAAAAATTAACATTTTTGAAAGAAATAATGCATGATCATGGTGCTAAAATAACTTTTTATATAAAGTTTAGGGTACTTAAATTACATGTGCAAGTTTGGGGTGCTTACCTCACACCCCTTCAAAGTTTGGGGTATTTTATTTATTTTTCCCTTATTATTATAATTATTATATTTATTACTATTATTATCATTATTATTAATCTTATTAATATTATCGTTATTACTACTACTATTATTATTCTTATTCTTATTATTATTATTATTATTATTATTATTATTATTATTATTATTATTATTATTATTATTATTATTATTATTATTATTTATTACTATTATTACCTTTAATAGTATATTATTGTTATTACATACTCCGTAGTAGATTAGACCGCACATTGTGTTAGCCAAGGGTGATTTCCCAAAATAGCACTACACAACGTTTGCAATTCAAAAATAGTTCTGGTCGGTTTAAGTCTGGTCTGGTCTAATCTAGTCTGAACTGGTCTGGTAAATGTTTAGTCTTTGTGTATTTTATAACTATTATACGGAATTCAAGTATGGTCTGGTCTAGTTTGTTCAAGTCTGGTTTGGTCTTGTCTGATTTGACTTGTTTAAGTCTGGTCTGGTCTATTTAAGTCTGATATGGTTTGGTCTGAGACTGAAAACAATTCAAGTAAAAACACCCTTAATACTCCGTAGTTGCAATATTATGCATTTAACATGACAATATACATTATATTTTATAACAACATTTTTTAATCATGGTAATATTTTTTCAATCATGACTATAATGACTCTTATTTCAAGAAGAAATATATACTAATCCAATTTTGAAATTTTCAAAGTCCTATTTAGGACAATTTACTTTTAGGCAATAAAGAATATGCTACTTTAATGTCCAGAAGTGAGTATCTCTTTACCACAAATTATAGCATGAGATCATTATCCTGTTTACGATATACGATCGTATCCCATTGTTACATATGTGTACTTTCACTTTTTCTTCCTTGCATGCAGTGTATTATTTTTCTTTTTAATGCAAGTAAATAGAGCCCGAAGCCCATTTTAATTGAGGCTCAAGCGGTATGGACGAATTTGCAAAACCCTAAAGCATATTTTCATTCCCTCACACCTATAAATAGGGGTCTTAGTTGAGAGGAATGGATAAGAACTTCCAGTCGAAAAAACGCTGCAGAAAAGCTCTGAAGAACTCCCGAAAGGCTCTGAAGGATTCCGAAACATCGGAAGATATCACACCACGTTTTTGTCAAGAATATATGATTAATCCTTTGTGATTTTCATCTATTCTTGATCAAACAAAGCCAAAAGTTGAAGAACGTTCGAAGATCTGAGGAACGAAGCTTGATGATTCGAAGATCTAAAGAACGAAGCTTTGAAGATTCGAAGATATGAAGAACGAATCTTTAAAGATTTGAAGATATTCATATGAAGATTGAATCAAAATTCAATTGAAGATCAAGCCATATATCCCGGGAGGCCCTTAAACAGAAGATCAAGCCATAAAACGGCCCTTTTGTTGAAGATCAAGCCACTTGAAAACCGGAGGCCCTTCAAGCTGAATTCTTTATTCAAGAAGATTTGAAAATCCGAAGAACGATGGTTCGAAGATCTCAAGAACGAAGATTCGAAGATCCAAAGAACGTTCAAATATTTGAAGAATTAGAGATTTAATTTTTAATTAAATTCTTTAATTATATTCATATCAAATTGCAAGTGAAGAATCAGAGGATTCATATTTAGAGATTGTACCCAATATTCTCACATATTATTATTTGCTATCAATTTTAAGTAAATACTTAAAATTTGTTTCACAATATCAATTTAATTTTTCTTTATCTTCAACATAAATTATGACTCGGTCTATTTTTTTTATTCTTTATCATCAATTCATAATAAAGAAATTTTTAATCTAAATAAAATACTCGTAAGTATATTGTTCCTATATATTATTATAGATAGATGTGACTAGTTCGTGAAATCGACGACTCCATTCCTACTTGCGTCCATGTCGGCTAAGAGCATCCGGATCTGGCCCTGGTGTGCTTATTGCCACTGGTTGTCGCCGGAGTGGTCGCCGGCTAGTCTTCTTCTCCTTCCTCTTTTTATTCTAGCTTCCTCCTCCACCATTACCTCCTCATCTTCTTCTTTCTCCCCTCTTGTTTCATTTATCAAGTTCTATTGTGCTGCTTTAGTCGTCTCTGTTCCTACGTAGCTTTAATTTACTTTTCAATTTCTTAGTTATTACCTTTAGTTATGATGTTTTTTACTCCCTATTTTACTTTACGGATCGAAATTAATTTTCTAAAAACTGTTTCGTTATGTTGCTGGATAGTGGATTTTATTGTTATTTTGGATACTTGTTGTTTCGGTACATTTTTGCTTTGTTGTTTTATGATTTTACTTTAAAAAATGCAAATGTTATTAAAAACCAGTGTAAATTTGACCAAACACAATGGCAATGTTATGATATGTTAATATTTCAAATGATATAATGTCATCGTTTAAAAGTTAATGTCATACATTATTATATGATAACAATGTAGTATATATAATGTCATTACTTAAAAATCAATGTCATCAAATGACAATAAATGTAATATAATGTCATTGTTTAAAAAAATGTAATTATATGGCAATGTAAAATAATGTCATTCCTCACAATGTCAAATAACAACAATGACAATATCAATGTTATGGATAATGACATCGTAATAATGACAATGTCAATACTATAAAAATGACAAAACCAATGTCAATGCCAAGTACTGTCAATGTTATAAAAATGACATTGTTAAATGAAAATGTCACAATGTCAGAGAGACTTCACAAATAACAATAACAATAACAATAACAATGTCACTATTATAAAAATGACATTGTAATAATGACAATGTCAACAACTATCATAACATTGTCAATTCTATAATATATATATATATATATATATATATATATATATATATATATATATATAGAAAAAATATTGTTGACGAATGTATAATACATTATTGACAATATAATGATACATAATGTCATTATATGATAATGTAATCGTGTACTTGTTTGAAAATTAATATCTTTGAGTAAACTCAAACTAAAACAACTAGTCAAAACTAGTCAAAAAGAAAATAAAAAAATTTGCCAATGTCGACTTAATTTATTAACATTTTTATTATCAACAAAATGACATTGTGATACTGTGACATTGTAATATTGTACCATTGTCATGTCATTTTAATATTGTGACATTGAGATATTAATATTGTGACATTGTCAAGAAGTGTCATTATTTCGCTAATCAAATTGAGATATTGTAACATTGTCATTCCATTGTAAAAAGTTGACAATATCGGAAAACTATCAAAATGTCAAAAAACTGTCACAATGTCAAATAATGACAATGACCCCACCGGTCGTCGCTCGCTGCTGGTGGGGGGATTCGTCGGTCGCCCAACGGTTGGGCGACTTATAAGTCGCCAAACCGTTTGGCGACTTATAAGTCGCCCAACCGCTAGGCCACTTTCCCCGACCATGGTTAAACCAACAGTATTTTGGTAAATACTTTTAATCCAACCCTATTTTCGTAATTAATTAATTAATTAACATTAATACGAAAAAACACGAAGTAAAATATGACATTGTCATAATGACAATGCCAATGCCGACGTCAATGACTGTCATGACAACATCAATGCTATAAAAATGACATTGTTAAAAACAGCGACAATGATATTAAATTGACATTACTTGGATAAAAAAACAATTTTCAACAACGTAATATAATGTAATTATATGACAATGTAGTATATATAAATGTCATTGTATGAAAATATGATATTATCATTATTTAAAATTTAATATAATTGCTCAAATACAAAAGAACATAGAATCCTAAATCACGAACAAAAAATATGACAATGTTAACATCATTTTTTTTAAATTGTCATTTTTAACAACATGACATTGTCTTTTGTCTTCACATTAATATTATTTATTGTATACTCCGTATGACATTGAGAAAGAAATCCACCATTGTAGCAATCGCATATTCACATTACATTAAAGCAGTAAATCCAACATTACATGGGTGATGGGTCAATTGTTAAAATGAAATAAAGAAGTAATAATAAAAATTAATGCACATTAAATTAAATATAAATGAAACAAAATTACAATTTGGTAAAGGAAAAAAGAAAAAAAAAAATTAAGCAGCAAGATAAAAAGAAAAAACAAGAGCAGCGAACAAACAGAAGTATAAAAGACTGGGAAGAAAAAACAGAGCATCTAAATATGAGAAGAACCGAGAGAAAAAGTACGGCAACAGCAGAAAAGAAGAAGGTCAGAGAAGGACGGGGAACAGGGAAAGATGAAGAAGAAGGAATCTGCAACATCTGCGCCGGAGCTGCCTTGGACCTCGCCCTCGCCGTCCATCGGCTCTTTTACCGTCAGCTCCTGCAGATCCACCGATCACTACTAGAAAAATGGTCTATAATGACTTTAAATAAGTGTCACTGAAAGTTTCTGTGACACTTCACAAAAGTCAAGGTAGGTCGGAAATTGTGACACTTCATATGAGTCACAAAATATGTGTCAGAAAATGGTGACATTATAATGTTGTAAAATATTATGACAGATTTGTAACAATATGTTTAAAACACAAACATGTCACACAGTTTAATGACACATTGACATTACAAAATTTAATGACATTTTTACATCACACATTTTTTTGATACAATGGTATCATTAATTTACTTACCAAAATTTTCTAAATGCAGCTATATTAATAATATAATCCATCTATTATGTTAATAACAACTAATTAATAAATGAAGTGAATCCCATAAATATATTGTATATCCAAAGAGTATTCAAAATGAGGATTCAATGTAACATACAACCCAATGTATGTAAACAAAATGGTTGATTCAAGTGGGCATAACACATCCAAAACACTTTCATAGTACAACTTCTACCATGCCACAACATTCATTCCAAAAAAGCTTCCATATTATATATATATGCATGTTCCACAAAATCTTCTCCAAATCCATCTACCAGAGCCCAACTTGGAGTACTA